GAAAAGCGTGCCAAGAGGCTTATAGGTGACTCGGAATTAGTAGAGGCGAAGCTGCGGAGACTTGAACACCGCCGTAACGTTGCCTGCTTATCGGTATTCTGCAGAATATATCACGAAGAGTGTGCGAGGGAATTGCACAAGTTAATTTCACTTTCCTCTTCCCATCATCGAGGGACTAGACGTAGGCTAGGGTTACACCCTAATGTTGTGGGTATTCCAAGGATTCACAAGAAGCATTAATTGAACTTCGGGATATTTTTGGTCCCTGAAAAGGGAGTCTCTCCCTTTATTAATTATAATTAAGTAAATATTATGCTCTACTGTCTTCAAAGAGCCTGGTAACTTATCATATTAACATTTAGTTAAGATTAAAACACAACTTTCAACAAAACCATCTGCTACTGAACATCAACAGTAGAATTGTTGCCATTTAAGACAAATCTGAGGGGACTAGTGAGACCTAGTGAGAGTCTGTGAGACCGAAATTTTACGCGTTGAGAAGACTAATGTATTTTTTCATGACGTTGTGTAGCACATAATAAAAAAAGTCTTTTATCTATATAAATGAAAATAAAAAAACATCATATACTTATAATTTTTTTGAATTTGTACTTATTTGTTGAGCAGTCCATAAAAGTTCAAAATTTAAATCATATGACACAAACAACGTCACGAATCAACAAAATAATAAAACAAGATGAAATTTTCTATCTTAATCGTTCATAAGCACATTATAATAGATTATTATCGAGAGCAATCAATATTATCATCAATTGCTAATCAATATTATCATCAATATTGTAGGGACTCTAAAATCGTAATTATTTTTGAATGTTTTTTTTTATGATGTTCTACGTACTATCTCAAATCTTATAACATAAAAAAGGAAAACAAAATAAAAAACTTCTAACTTTTTTTAGGAGCAGATAGTACGATAAGCTACTCATTATCAGTAGCAATGGTTTGACATCATCAAAATCTTCATCTTCTGTTTCCGCCTCCTATGCAAACCGTTCTGATTCTTCGTAACTCATGTTGTGTCTACAACAAATAGTGGAACAATAAATAATTTAATATATATTACATAAAATAATGTACTTTTGTAAGTAATAGAGTACAAATAACGTGAAATACTCACCCAGGTTTCAATTTTATTTCATGATTTTTTCTGGAACACGATCGATCGCGCGCGGAATTTGAGACAGCAAACACAAATAAAGACACATGTGAGCTTGCGACGAATGTCACAGGGCTAGTAAGGGGAAGTACCTCACCACGGTCGCTCAACCGTTTATTGTTTATAGTTTTTGTAAAATGACTAAAATAAAGTCGCTGCGATCTCTGAGACCACGCGCGAACGCCTGGAAGGTTAAATGTACAAGCCACAACAGCTAAAATTGCACAACTATCTGTCGTCACAACATAGTGGGAACGTGCCCTAAGTCTTTGTTTAATATGCGATCTATTCCTTCGTGTTAAGATAATAAATTATACTTAATATTACTTTGTAATAAAAACCATCTAAAATCCCATTATATAATAGTAATTACAGCGAACCTGACTAACCCCGCAAACGATCAGCTAAACTTTAAGGCCCATCTTTGACCCTTGGGATCTTTTGTGTCTGCCCTTAACAACCCTTTCGTATAGACAATTTCCATTATATCTCTAATATAGTTTTGGGTATGTTTAAATATCCTGTCCCATTATAGTTGTTCGAACAATGCTACGGAAAAATAAATATATTTGCTTATGTAAAAGGCTTGTAATTAGCGTCTATTGTTTAATTTGCTACCAAATAATAGTAGCACAGTCATGTCATACTGTTATTTAATTACCCATGTCTCATTTTCTACAATTCAGTCGACCATATTACACATAGTAGCTGTTCATGACAGTCGTCTTCATAAAGTCTCAAATTCATTTAAGGGGCAATGTATGCGCTTCTATAATAAGATTCCAATTGATATTCGAAATTTGCCATTTACAAAGTTTAAAACAATAGTGAAACAAAAACTTTATACTAAAGGTTATATTATTATACAGCTTCTGCGTACTTGTATGACAAAAATCCGTGGTAGTAACCAGTTTAACTCTTGCAGGTATTCTTGATCTAAAATGTTTAAATTAAATATTGTAGTGATAAATGTATTCAAATGTATATTTACAAAGAGCAACCCCTAGAGTTTGATGCTCATTTTTGTCAGGGGAATCTGCCTTACGAATGAGCAGTAGAGTTTAATCAGTATGACGATTTCCAGTGTAATTTGCTTACCTATGAAATTAAGATTATTTGACTTTGGCATCGGGGTAGGCAGATACAACAGTCTTCCATTTGTTATGGTTGTGACACACACAATTCGCCTCATCCACACGCATCAGTGCTTTCACACACGTTCGTCGGTTAATGATACTCTTGACCTGGCCCTTCTATAAGATGGCCTCAATTTGGTCGCCTTGGTAAGCCCTTATCAACTTCCCCGTTTCCTCGCTCACACTCGCCTTTTAAATTATGCTTATAACTCAGTCGGATGTACAATACAATAATGATATTACTCGTATATGTTTATTTTCTCCCGCAATAAATTATCAAAAGTAATGGAACTGAGCTTAAATATTAATGTTTGTGAGAGACAAAAATCAAAACTAGCCTAAAGTACCCTGTACCCTGTCCTAGTAGTGTTGGGTCTTGGAAATAATTCCATTTTGAAAAAATAATGTAACAGAAAAATAAATATTTTTCCGGATATTTTTCCAATAAGTTTCCTTTAGTTATCCCTTAGACTAGAGGATGGAAAAAAATCCACGTTTGACGTTGACACCTGTCAAAAGTTGAAGTTACTGAACGAAGACGATGGAGCCAATAAAAAGGGTTTTTTCCGCCGTTATGAAATTATTTTAAATGTCATTTTTCTAAGTGGCTTTCATTTATACAAGTTTATTTTATAAATTCAAGCTAAATAAAACTTCAAAAGATATTTCGAAATTATGTATTTCCAATTTTTCAATTTCCAATTTCCACTATTTGAAATTTTTCAAAAAATTACCTAACAGTAGGTCCTGGTCCCTACTTCTTGGTTGAGCAAATCTTGTATTTACCCTGTATAAGGTTCGAGCGTGTGTATATGTGTATTGGATGCCATTTATTGTAATTATAGAGCCGGGTACTCATTAGCGAGCTGTAATTGTAACGTGACAGATACAGTAACGAAGTTCTAGTGCGCGGTTCGCAATATTTGAGCCTGGAGGCCCAAATCGCGAGTATCGTGTGATCCCGAGACTGGTTACTTGTCAAAAATAATGAAATTTTAGTCGCGGGCTTAGTTGCAGCTTGAGAGATAACTTTACATTTATATCGTCCAAACCCGACTTTATTTTCAAAGAATGTCGGTACATTTGTTGGTTTAAGGGGTGATGAGCTTGTTTTTCGAACATTATTCCGATGAAATAAAATAAAATAAAATAAAATACCCATTATTATCGAGTTCTTAGGTTTTCGCGATTGTTACACATAGGAAATGGAACTGTTTTTTCGGATTTAAACCGCGTATATTTGTTTTTTCAAACAAACCGACGTTTCGGGCCATTTACAGGTCCCATAGTCACGATTGACTGAGGTGGTACAGTCTTCAACCAGTTATGTCTAATGTTGATGCAAACCACCCTATTTTTTCACTATAGTTACAATAGTTATTAATTAAATACCTTATTTTTAATTTTACAAAGAAACATATTATATATCATATTATTACTCGATACACAACTCAAAAACTCCCGAAGTACATGTACGGAAACCGTTGGGTTTAGAACAGGTTTAAAGGAGAATTATATTGCATATTAGTATTGTATACAGTTAAATATATCCTCAGCATTCCACATCCTTAAAACAACAAAGTGTACCAATATTTAACGGAAATGAGTTCGGGTTCAGACGGTACAAATTTAATCTCTCTCTCGAGCTGCAACTGAAACCGGGATTGGATGCGACTCAAATTTCATTATTGTTGACAAGCAATCAGTCCCAGAATCACACGATACTCGCATTTGGGCTCTTTCGGGTTCCGTTGCAACTTTAAACCGACCCCGGGATCTGATTCTACAAGCCCCTAGTGTGTACGTGTGAAACAGTATTCACTCGCTAAAATGAGTACCTGGTTATCGAATAGTCGGCTCACTGCGAATCGCACGCTTTCCGCACCCGGCAAGCTCGCAAACCACGTACACACTGTGATTTTTGGTAACATAAAATGCAACGATTACGGTTATTGCTCGCTAGTGAATACCCGTCTTAAGAAATAGATGTCGTATGTTACATGTAACTCAAACTCTGTCTCTAGTTTTGTTTTAACCAGATAAAACCTAAGATTTCGGGTAATAAATAACTCGCATTCATTTCAGTGTGCATGTGCGTATGGGTGCGTGCGTCCATATAGAGAAATGCTTGTAGTATAGCGTTAGTGAAATGAGAATGCAATAAGGCTCGATCGACAAAATTTATTGTAAAAAATGTTAAAAGAGGAAAAGAAAAGGTCTATATAATTATATAATTTTGAAAATGTATCGCTACACTCGCGATTTATAGGTGATTGCATCGAGGAAACGCGCGACTACATCGACACAAACCCTCGAATGCAACGATGCAAACGCGCGACTGCATCGATACAGTCGCTTATGATGAATTATGTACGAAAAATTTTATAGGTTTATGCACATTGTTGTGTTTTGTTAATTGTAAATTTAAAAGTGAAATTAATGACTACATTAATCGTCGTCGTCGTGGATCGCGTTTGTATCGCGTTTGCATCGCGTTTGCATCGAGTTTGCATCGCTGCTAAAAGTCACTGTATGTAACCGCTCATTAGTAGTTGTACTCTATTACTTCATATTTCAACACTCAAAATGTAATAACAGTACGCACGTAAGTCAAGTTAAGAAATCTCTATGTAAATATTACTGTTTTCTGTGAGGTTTCACAAAAGCAATGTTTTCCTTCGTTACAGATATAATTTTGTCAACACCTGTGTCGAGTCAAGGACTTCGCGTAACAAGAATAAGGCAATACGATCATCGGTAAGAATTTTCTTGTATTACATTCTTGTTTTTATACAATCACTTTTTGTATTTGTAGGAATTACATTTGAATATAATATGCCGCCATACTATGATGAATAATGTTACTATTTAGTTTGCTTCAGAAGAAAGTGTTACGAATAAATAAAACAGTTACAAGTTATTTCAAATTCAAAATTCCAAATTTTCTTACTATGACAGCTTTGAGCAACAGCTTGAAGCGCTTAATAAAAATAATAAACAGCGATAGAAAAATAAAGTTATTTTACCTGCTGACTTCCACCATTGATCAATAATTCAAGATAACTGTTAATCGCGGTACAAGACAGCGTAGTCGAATATTTAGTACCTGTTTATTGGTACACCAGATGTCGCGATGAGTACCAAATAACTATTTTTGTTAAATAATTGACGAAATAGAATTTGTCAAAGCTACTCTAATTTCTAGTGACAAACAAATCAACTAGATGGCGCTGATTGCACAATTTTTTATGGGCACAGCCAGCTATTCTGTTATTTTGTTTAGGATTAGCGCCATCTACCCATACTAACAGGCGTTAATTTGGAAATTAGTTTGTAACACACAATGCCATCTATTGACAAGCATTTTTAACAAAGTTATGAAAATAATTTTAACTCATGGTCATTTTTTTCTCATTTTGTAATGTCAGCATTACTGTGTTCCGGTTTTGAAGTATAAGGATGCTGTTGAAATTACAGGCACATGGGACTTGTCAACTTAAGTCTCAGGGTGACAGGCGCAGTGGCTGTGCGCCTCAGATCTTAGCGATTTAGAGAGCTGAGTGGCAATGCAACTGTTATGGACAGGCGTGTAGCTTACTATCAGGCGCACGACTTGTTCGTCCCGTCACTCGATATTATAAAAAAATACAAAGAAAAAACTGACTAGGTACTTATATTTCATAATAAAATTGAATTAATTGATATCCACGTCCATGTACGAAATGATATTTTCCAGAAATAACGTTTGCTCGAATTTTCATAACCTCGAAAGTAATTTTGAGAGGAAAATGTTTTTTTCTTTTCGTGTCTTTGCGATAAACATCCAACACATCCTGAAAGAACAACGGTTTCGTTATAATTCGGCTTTCGATGTAATGAAAATTCGAACAAACGTTATTTCGGAAAAGAAAATTCGAGTTTGTGACAGGTTACCCCACGGTACATTTACATAACATAAACTACTTACAGGCTATTGATCAGCGCCACCTCGATACGAGACGGAATTTTGACCTTCTTCGGAATTACGTTACAATCTGTAGTATGGAGATTAGCAGTCTTCTTGAGTTATTGGTTCATGCTTCCACCAAAATGCGCTATCTCTGCCATAGGATTGATAATACTATTATATACGTAAAGTAAGCAAAATCAAATTGTGTAATATATTTTATATTCATCAGTCAATAATAGAATGACTAAACAAGTATGGTTACTCAATAACGGAAACACGTCAAATATCTATCTGTATTTTATTTTAGGGTACCACCAAATATTAAAAAGAAATGTGTGGAGATATTGTCATACGCTGTCACCGCTGAATTACATTCCAAATAGGCAATTCGTGTTCAGTTAACATTTCGTTCCGCCGCTGCGAATAATTTTCAAATATGAAAATATATGCCTCATCCATCAATACAAATATTTTTTTATTGCCAAACCATACGTTAAAATATATTCATCTAGATCTCATTAATACCAAGATCGAACACTTGGAAAAAATTCTCCTAGTAAACCGTGTCAGACGCTATGCCAACTAAGCCACGGAACGAACCAGCGGACTTCACGAATTTCGATCTTTCTATTAATAATTATAACAAACTAGTGGAGTAATTTTAAGAAAAAGAATTAAATATTTCGGTGGCGAAACATTCTGACATTCAATAAAACTTTAATTACAGTTAACAGCGACATTTCTAGCCAGGACTGGTAGCTGTAAAGTAACCTAACTGGGTGACGAAATACTTTCATAGATTTCTCATAGATGGCGCTACGGCTAAAAAGTCATTGAAAACCAAGGTCCGCTGGTTCGTTCTATGGCTTAGTTGGCATAGCATCTGGCAAGGTTTGCTAGGAGACGTTGGTTCGAATCCGGCCGGATCGAAGTATTTTTTCTAAGTAATCGTAATCTTTGTAACTATTTATTGTTTATTGTTCTCCTCCATTGGGGATGGGCAGGGCACTGTTGTGGAACGTGACATGCGTCGATACACTTGGCCCGTCTCATCTCCAGCACATCAGCAAGAGGGCTAGTTGACAGAAAAACTAAAGGGTTATAAGTAACAGGATCTCGGCTCCGACCACCATTTGCACACTTTGAAGTCGAAACCCTTGGCCCGCGTGATGCCAATGCCCTTCATCTTTACAAAATTTTATCAAAATAATTCAAAGACGGTCTGGGAAACCCAAGGGTCTGCAGCTACCTTGCCCAAAGGGGGAACGCTGCCAGCATCTTGGGCACTTTGCCGCAGCGACCATTTAATTTAGATTTAACTGCCTCCGTGGCCGAACGGTTATCATACTGGATTGCCATGCAGAGTTCCCAGGTACAATTCCCGGGCCGCGAGAAATATTTGTATGGCATACAATCTCTCGTGAATTTGGGTGTAATTTGTGGTTGTTTATGTATGTGTCCATGGCACCCGCGATACAGGGTTTCCCTAGTACGGGGCTATGAGTGTGTGCTTGTTTGGTCTATGGTATGTGCGTTATTTCGCATTTTATATCATTTCACATTTTTTACATTTTTAAAACATTTAACACGTTGTATAGTCTATTCATGTAATTAAATCCTAGTTTAATCATATTTTCAATTTATTTTCACTTGTGTACCTATCAATCATCGATTATATAACCAGAAATAGAGACGAAATGTCATTTCATTTGTTTGAAAACTATTCTGCCATATTATTACTGTGACAACTGCGCTCCGATTGCCTAGCCCGAGTTCGAAACAATTGGCGGGTGTCGTCAAACTTGAGCTTTGCTATAGTGGACGAAAATTGCAAAATTACATATGTAATATTTAATTACCGATGACATGTGATTCCGTTTGTTTTGTAATTAGATGTTTTGCTGTGTTTCCCACACCACCCAATAGAACAGCACGGCATTGTCAGAGATATTATCTTTATTACAATAAATACAGAATATTTTTTGGAATATACGGAGACGTACACACAGGTCGGTAGTTGGCCTGTCTATATTTCAGTGCAAACGGGAGTTGATATTTATAAGAGCTGTATCGCTAATGTGTTACCAGGAATATATGGCTCTTATTTTGTCTCTATTTCTGGTTATACAGTCGATGCTATCAATAGACCAATTTTACCCTTCCAAATCGAAACGCTGTAATGCAGCCTTGGGGGCAGAAATAGGTAAAATGGCAGTATTTCCCTCGATGAACTCTTTCACAAGGAGCTCTACTGCTACAATATAAGCGTTGATGAATCTGTCAAATGTTTTCAAAGTACAAACCGCCTTGTATCAATACCGTATTCCGAATTGCGTGAATTTCTTCTGTAAGCTGAATCAAATGCACACATTACAGATTTTCTCAATACCGCACCGTGGTAGTTCGACCGAGATAGAATGCAGAGTCTGCAGTTCGCTGACCCGTAACGAATAGTACGCTATTCAGTTCCATTTCACTTTGATTGTATGCGTAGTTTGGTTACTTGTTTCTATTTGAATTTTTATAGGAATATTGACACCAAAAAAGCCACTTCACGTCATGTATGCAAGCAAAGAAAAGGCGCCAAGTTCACCGTTCGCATGTTGTCTTGTGTTATGTAATTTTATCACTGTTTAAGCACTATTAAACTAAAAACTGTGAAGATTGTGGACTGAGGACAGCCCCATATCTTTCTACATAAGTTTTGGTTATTGTGACCCTCCATACTGACCCTTAGGGTATATGAGAAGGAACTATAACATGTGCGTGCACAGGAACCTTCTAAGTTCAGGTTCTGACCCCAGATCAGCCAGTGTACAGGCTTGTCACAGACCGTTGCCACTTACTTCGTCCGGTTCTCATGAGGTTAGTGCCTCGGGTGAGCTGCCCCGGGTGCACGTATAGCATCCTCCCTATTTTCCACATAGGCACCGGCGCTGCAGGCACGCTCACTTCCCATTGCACATTCTACAACTAGCGGTTCCCACCACTAAGCCGTCGACTCTAAAGTCCACTACCAACTCTCCTTATTGATTGCGGAGTAATGTAAGGCATCCTCTCTCCTCGACGGAAAAAACGGTGTCTCTCCAGTTCCCAATAACCTAAGCGGTTGGAGGAACCGGAAGATCTAGTTCATCCTCTACTAGCTCTCCGGGCTAGTGTCAGAGATGACGGTCGCAGTATCCTGCGACCAAGTCTGGACCTACATATGTCCGGATGCTATTTTCCGACTTAAAGGGTCCCACGCGTCTCTTCGCCTTTGGCCTGAACTGCTAGTAAAGGCGTATCACTAGCGGAGGGCTTGGCCCGAACGAGCGCTATACTCTGGCGTCGCCGGCGAGCCCGTAGTCTCTCTGTAATACCTTATCTCTCGGGTCGGCAGGTAGGGACAACTACTATGGACAGGTGTGTCGCTTAATACCAGGCGCACGACTTGTTCGTATTGTTACTTGGTATCATAAAAAAAAAATTAAATTCTCGCAAATCGCCGCACATTGACTATTGATTATCTGTAGATAGATGGCGTTGCGCGTTTTGAGTTGACAACTAATGCCGTTTGAGCGGCAATTCATTTTTAAATACATTTAACCAAAAAATATTAATATAAACATCGAACATACAAAAAAATTCCTTCGATCTGGCTGAACAAGAACCAGGGACCTCGCCATACCCTGTTTAACCAACTGAGTTACGGAACGTATCAGCAAACCTCTCAAATTTGTCTATGTGCTTGTTGCTTTTTCTTTATGTTTGTTTGATATTTGAATTAATATCAACACCAAACAAGTGGAGTATTTGCACTAAAAAT